CCTTTCGATAGCTTTTATAATTGGATGGGTTGGAGCTAGTTGTATAGCTCGTAGAGCGTATTTTCGATTCGTTTGGCTTAGCCGTACACCTGGTCAGGGGTACGTACAAAACCAGTGGAAGTTATGCTTTGCCCTTAATGTGACTTTAAGTTCTTTATATGAATTATACGTCACCCATAAGTAGGAAAATATCACAGCCTACCCTAATCGCAGTGGTTATAACTGCTAACAAGATACTCTCGTCTTTAGGTCCATTGGTGGGGAACTGGTTACACCAACGAAATCGCGTATCCCCAGCTGTGGGTAACAGGCACTATCACCACGAACGGCACCACTGTAGCAGTGATTCCGGAGAAATCCCTTGCATGGATGGATCGTCAGTGGGGTACTGGGGGTGCGATTAATGGATGGTGGTTTTTCAATTTCTACCTGCCAAAATGGTTGGGTGATCGGTGGCTGGAGGACTCAGCCCGTTGACGATACACCCAAGGTGTCGTCATTCGCTACAGTGTTATTTCCTGATGGCCATCACGAGGTGCATGCAATGGATCCCAATGTGCATGAATCAGATTCATGGATTTCCGCTGACACCAATTTAACGTGGTATGCGAAGTATCAGCTCACAATACCTACCATTGACCTTACCCTCGATGTCAAACTCCCACACAAGGCTGGCGAGATGGCATATCTGGAAGAACCCGGCGCAGCAATAACACTCTTCGAAGGTTACGCTACTGTCTCTGGAACACTCTGCAAAGAGAACGTTACTGGATATGGCCTAGTTGAGCAGATATATTCTCTTACCGTCTAGCTCAATTCCATCTTGCGCTATAACGCGAAGATGTACCGCCATGGCCAATATGGAAAAGATAGAACCCGCGAATCTAAGACTACAGCTGAACAGCTAGTAAATCACCTCAAAGTCATTGTTAGCCCTTGCGACGCAGGAGATTTGCGGTACAGAATAATACAACCTACTCTCTTGACCTATACATTCTTCGTACCCTTTCTCATACCGTGCTATTGTGACACTGTAGACTAGCGTTGCGCGTCATCTACGGACAGTCGATTAGTAACGTTCTAAGATACCTTCTCGCTTTATAGCCAGGCGTAATAACATAACTGGTTAAGCATTATGAGACAGATAGTTATATCCAGCAGACGGTATCCAGTGATTGATCTGACCTTGTTTCCTCCAGTTCCAATCACGTATTGTGGTTAATAGGATTTTGTTCCGCCTTCAGCATAGCGTATCAGCCTGGAATGACAATATGGAATGTTCTCTAAAGTTATTCATGCTAACCTCATCAGCAGTATGGCTTCCGAGGCCGCCGATAATACTTCAAGACACCTTAAGACACCTTCGGCCCTTCCACAGCTTTTTGGTTCATCTATAAATACTCACACGCAACATTTTACCGTTTTCGTCAATAATTGCGCATGTCCATGTTCATGACGTGCCATGTAGGAATCGCATCAAGACTTTACCCGTCCTGCAGGCACATATACTCGTCCGTAGTTGATTAATCGCCTTACGCCTTCCCACAAAGGAGATGGCGGACAAGATGTTAGTTTTCTGAAGCGGGAATAACCCAATCAACGAACTGCTGGCCAGACCATAACTGGTCTCATTAGGTAGGGCTGAACTTGAGCTGTCGCATTGGGAGATATCGACCACATTAATGGGTACCGCGATGAAATGAAATTCATGGAACTTCCAGGTCTTTCCGTCGTGAGCAATAGAAAGCGGAATCAAATTCGTCGTCACCCTGATAGAGTTTCCTCCTGGTATTGAGCTATAAAACAAGCCGTGCGAGGGTAAATAAATTGTGCATTCAACGTCTGGGTGAGCTAATGGACTTTATAGCCAATTGGAAATTATAGAAGATAGCATGAGCGAGTTGCTTTCTTGGACAAGGATTTGCCCACTGGTGCTACAAGAAGGTCGATGTTGCATTGCCTTGTTGGAATGCATGATTGAGGGAGCCCACAGAGACAGTTTACTTTGGCGCAAAGAACGTGCAGCACCAGCATTAGTACGGTCAGCCTTTCTTAACGCGGTTGAGTGGATGGACATAGGGAGGGGAGGAAGAGCTAACAATGTCAGAAAATCTAGCAACATCTTCGGCTGGGCAAAGCCAATCCGAATTACGTCAATTCAACGCGCTTTTGTGACTCGAGGAAGAAGGCAAGCGCAATGCCCGGTGGATTATCAGCTTGAACTGCAACATGAGCGGTTTCAACAAATCATGAGGCTGCTAGTTTTGTCAAGGCAGGAATATGACATTTTGCCTTGTTCATGGACTGGTAGACCAATGGCTCAAAGATGCCTGTTTCCAACGCCCAGTCGAAAGAAAACACCAAAAAGCTCGATGTGGAAGGCGATGTGAAATTGATACCAGAATCCAGCAACTATAATAATGCTATTCAAAATCACGCAATTGATTGAAATAGCATGTCGCATGCTGAGCGCAGATATGCTTCGGTTAGCAAGCGCGACGGCTCACACTTAGATTTATTTGACTGTTAAATCACGAATTTTGGTTGGGAAATGATGGTGAATGGGCAGATTATCACGCGCATGTACCCACAAAACACGATACGAGCCTCGCAGTATTGACGCTTGTCATGGTACAGGGTGCCATGATGCCTCCTGGCTCATGGTAGTGTACCGTAGCGTGTATGGCGGAACGTTTCTGCGCAATCCAAGAGAAGAAACCCATCTGGAATACGATAGGCGAGATCTTGTGCCCAGCTTTCCAAGTAAGTAAGTACCATAAGACGGGCGCGGCATCGCCGATGAACCTACCCGTTTCACCGCTACTTGGCTGCCCAGCTACTTCGGAGTGAATGCGGCCGCGACCAAGTGTTGCGAACATGTATAGTGCAGAAGATACGTACTGCCTGGACTCGGGACTATGGCGTTAACATTGTTGATTGGACAATCGGATTGGAGGTAAGGATACGGCCGACAGATGAAGGCGTGGCTTGATCTCGTTTGGATGACATTCGAGCAGGGAGAGGAGAAGACGGGGGGGGGGGGGGGGCTACTAGGAGTATGGGTGACGGGTGGCAGAAGATAAAGTACACCTCGCCTTTAGCCGACGGCACGACGGCCGACTAGTCCTACTGCGGGCTAGTGACCAATCAGCACATGGACCCACCCCGTCGACTGCAGGGTCCCTGGCTCCTCCCGGCGCGGCAGAGACATTGCTCGCCCGCCCAGAATCAGTTCATCACGCCACTTTGACCCATGTCTCGCGCTACATGCTGTCTCTGTACATACATGTGTGTGTCTGTTCTCAGTCCTGCCCTGTAAATAGTCAGACCCTGCGTTTTTTCTGCATGTTGGCGCTTGCATGTGTTAGGTCATCATCAAAACTGCACACGCGCTATTCATAAACCCAGTCTGCTGACATTTTGATTTAAGTATTCATTGTGTGTGTGTGTGTGTGTGTGACTATCATTATACATACCGTAGACAGGTGCAACTAGTGCACGCCATCTTGTCAAGTTTAGAGCCCCCCGTGTCCATTAGCCCTTCAATTCCCTCTCCGCTCAGATAATTCCATGCTAGGCTCTCCCTTGACTTCAAAATCTGCCGTGACCCAGATGTTGCTAAGCTTGCTGGTTCTTGCTCCTTGACTGTTCGGAGTCCCAATCTTGATGTAGCTCGATGGGTGGCGGCCTGTACTCCCTGTCGTTTTGTAACCCAATGTTGTGGTGTGAACTACGCTGTTCGGGCTGAGGGTCAGGGACGACTCGAGACTGACAAGGAACGGCTTGAGGAATGGTATCGTCGAGGTCATGATACTAGTGACTTGTACAACCTGTCCACTAACAACTATGGGCCAGATTGTATTGAGTAGATTGTTGTCCTGCAAGGAGAGGTCCAAGATGAAAAGGATTTGGACGGCCGATGCTGCCATGACACTTTGTGTTTCGTCTGTCAGTGATTTCATCCAAATATTCTTATCAAGTTAGATGAACATACATCACACGACACCAGAATCCAATTAGAAGAGTGAGCTTTCTGTCAGATCCAACTTGCAGTGGTATTACCATCAACGTAGGTACTATGGCCAGCGCCAAATCGGTAATGATGTTCATCACGGCGTTGAATGTTCGGATCCTGCGCTGTTCCATGTCAGTCATCCAAAACAAAATCTCATCTTAAAGTGAGTCTTACAAAGTTCATACATTGTGGGTTTGCAATGTCCCATCTTTGTGGCGATGGGCACTGGAAGGCTATCAGAAACACAGCGGTTACTCCCCAAACAACAGTGACTGCACTTGTTGTGTACATCATCAAGCGGTGCTTGACAACGGGTGTCACTGCCGTAAAAGGAACTAATAGCGAAAGTTTTGCAGCAACAAGTGTGAATACAAAGAGCATATCTCCAATATACATTGCCTGCAACACTTAGCATTGCATCTAGTTGATCAGAAAACCGACTTACCTTCCAAGCTTGCATAATTGTATCTTTTGGATAATCAGACTGCGAGTTTCCAATCGCTTGACCAGCAGGACTAAGAAATGTGATAGCCTGTCCTATGTCTAGAATCTTAAAACACGTAAGCTAAGGATGCACGTCGTCTGAACATTTGCTCAGTTACTTACAAGCGCGGTTGACAATATCCCGTCGGCTGTTGTGAATGGTCTTGACATAGCCTTCTTCGTAGCAAAGTGTGCCAATATAGACAGTGTTGAAAAGGCCATAAACAGCCATGCGAGGATTTGGATCAGCGGCGCCGCATGGCCTTCGTAGAATGCAGGCGTCTTCCCAGCGTCCATGGAGACAATATTCCACTTTCTTTTTTTCGATTATGGTGGCTTATGTTGTCAGTATGCGAAGACTAGTTTTCATAGGACTTGACTCTACATAAGAAACTTAGCTCCCCTGGGCTGAACAGTCCATGCTAAAGATTGATACATTTAAAAAAATCCTAGAACCGCCTGATTGCATGCGATATACGCTTGTGGCCGTTTGTCGGACTGCATTGTACTACCGACACATGCCACTCCAGCAGGTCTCGACTGTGCATGGGGCATCTTTCGGCAGATGTCAAGGGACTGCCATCTTTCATAGCCCTGTTCGCATCCGTCTGCGTCTAATTACGCCGTGACATTTTCGCCGCAACGACATCTGCATACGCGGCATGCATGTGTCGCTCTCCATTTCATTAGAAATTGACCCCTGTTGCATGCTGCATACAGTATTTTACCTGTTGTTCGAGCTCATAAAGCCTTTATCGGCGACAAGCAACTAAGTAGTGCGATCTGTGTGCGCATTGTCAACACTTAGATCGAACACTAGTTTCAGAATACGGTATCGCATACCAGACCTGACTCGAGGGTGAGACCATGACGGTTAATTAAAAGTTTGAGTTCCCGTCGACGATTGCAACCAGGATGGCGGGTTCGCGCGGCTTTTTCAACCGGTGCATAGAGTTTGGAGCACTGCAGGGGAGCGTTTTCCAATTGAGTAAGAATCGACAAACCGCCGAGTGGTCGCGCTTGAATTCAACGGCGCAACTAATTTTCCGTTCTATGCTAAGTGTAGGAGAGAAGAGCGCAATGGTTCATTTTTTCATTGTGAATGGATCTTGTAAGTTCATCTCATGTTCTGGGTTTGGTGTGCGAAACAATGCTAAGCTCGATGCTAAGCTTTGTAGACGGCGTTCGCCCAAGCGATACGTTTCCAAAGATACAAGGACCCCGCTTTGCTGCATCCCGTGTGGCAGCAATTGTGACCTGATTTTGCTGATTTTGCTGATTTCGCTGACTTTCCTGAATGCGCTTAGTGAACACCAGGGTAAACTGGGACTAACTCGCCTAAAAGCAACGGAAGGAGCCTGCTAGATCGCCGCACTGCCTGCATAGAGTTCATACATAAAACGCCATTTCTCTTGGGGCTTTCCAGGGAATCCTCGACATATAGCTTTTTCCGTCCACAACCACGCTGCCGTCATGGAACTCGAAAGTCGCATGAAATCTGGGGTAGTCGCCTCAAGCGATGAGGTATTCACTCAAGATGAGCGGGATCTCATGCGATTGGGAAAGAAACCGGTGTTGAAGCGCAATTTTGGATTCATGCAAATCCTTGGATTCTCTTGCACGGTCTTGGCCACTTGGGAGGGGATTCTTCAGTGAGTTCATGGGACTACAATGTGAACCGAACGCAGCTTGCTTACCACATGTCAGAGTCTCTACTCCAAGTTTGTTGAATGGCGGCCCCGCAGGTGTCTTCTGGGGCTATATCCTCATATGGATCGGCTCCATCTCAATCTATACAGTCCTGTCCGAGTTGTCGTCCATGGCACCTACCGCGGGTGGTCAGTATCAGTAAGCATCCCTATCGCGACTCGGATTGTCATAACTCACTAACGTATCTACAGCTGGGTCGCGTTGTTGGCACCGAGATCGTGGAGTAAATTCATGAGCTTCATCACTGGATGGGTGTCATTGATCGGTTGGCAGGCTACGACTGCCTCGTCGGCATACTTGGGTGGAGCTGTCTTGCAGAGTACAATCTTGCTAGTCAAGCCTGAATACACTCCTAAGCCATACCAAGCAATGCTGATCGGATGGGCATTGCTTGCCTTCGCCGTGATAATTAATACTGTCGGTAGCAAGACCTTGGCCCATTTCGAAGGATTAATCCTGATTCTCCACGTATTGGGGTTCTTCGCCATCTTGATTCCTATGGTTTATCTTGGAGATCACAGCGATGCTTCAATCCTTACCACTTTTGTCAATTCTGGAGGCTGGTAACTATTCCACCCCGATGATATATGTGGATCACGAACTAACGTAGTCCTTTCATTTCAACAGGTCAACTCAGACGCTATCTTTCATGGTTGGTCTACCATCCTCCATTTTCGCCCTTATTGGTGAGTGATCAATGTATAAATATAGTACAAGGTGACATGTCAGCTAACGCACTTAGGGGTCGACTCATGTGTTCACGTAAGCAATCATCCAACTGATGTTCGGCCTATTCGCTAAGCACGATTTACATAGATAGCGGAAGAAGTCAAGAACGCAACGAGGGTGATCCCGCGAGTCATCCAATTTAGCGTACTGCTAAATGGCAGTCTGGGATTTGCAATGATCGTTGCATATCTGTTCTGCCTCGGGAATCTAGACGATGTTATAAAAGAATCTGCGACGCTTGGATATGCTTACCTGTATGTATTTCTGAAGAGCACAGGATCACCGGCTGGAGCAGCGACCATGGCTATGATCATGTGGATTCTCGGAGTTTGCTGCTTGGTTGGCCTCATGGCCGCAACTTCTCGACAGTTGTGGTCTTTTGCAAGGGATAATGCTGTACCTTTCTCAGATCAAGTAACAAAGGTAAAGACCCCTCTATCAGCCGCGTATCTGGAGGCTAATAGGTGCTGAAGCTTCACCCTCGAACTCGAATCCCTGTTATCACGATTGGAATAACAGCTACAATTTCCATGCTTCTATCTACCATCGCACTTGGCTCTGTCGTCGCTTTCAGCAACATTGTAAATCTTAGTATTGGTGGCCTATATGCCTCATACTTCATTGTTTGCACCTTGCTCCTTTGGCGGCGGATCCAGGGCATTAGACCCTACAGCGACCGCGCTGTGATGGTCGGCCCAGAAACCCTCCAGTGGGGGCCTTGGAAGGTCCCTGGAGTATTCGGAATAGCCAACAACCTTTTTGCTTGTGTGTATTTGTTCGTCATGTGGTTTTTCTCCTTCTGGCCAGGTACGGCTACGGTCACTATTCAGTCTATGAACTTTAGTTCTCTCACATTTGGTGGGACTGTATTTCTAGCCGTCCTATGGTACTTCGTAAGCGGTAGGAAGACGTATACTGGACCAAGAGTTGAAGTAGATCTGGAGTAGAGTATTAGAAGAGGTTGTTAGAAACTATCGATATAATAGACGGCGAGATAGTAACCTCACGCTTCGAAGCTTAATCCAAGAAGAGTGATGACTTGGCGATCTTTAAGAGATCCATGAGAATACCCTGATCAATAAGTCTTCTCCATCATTGTGCTAATTTGCAGAGTTACGAGTAGCCATAGTGAGACCGCTATTAGATAAACTTCAAAACATGGGTAAGGGAGATTTGTCACATCAACAGATTGGGAGATGGGAAGATGGTGAAGTAACTAATTAGCAGCTCGCGGGAGTTTTGAGTGAATGGCCTAGCAAGACGATATGTGGATATGTGCAGGGTGATTGAATATATTCTTATATGAGGTTGTGTGTTGGTAGGGATAGTGTGATGAAGCGGAGAAAGTGAGCATTGAGGGACAGGGTAGAACATTGTGTAATAACACCTGTAGTTATCTTAAAAAATAAGATTTATTTAACTATTTATTTATTTATTTATTTATTGACTCCTACTCGGTTTCAGCCGCGTGCTGCGCAGCTATGCCCGGAGTGACAGGCGTGGCAGACAGCGGACGCGGTGCGGACGTTAACTAATCCGCGCCGCCCCACTTCATCCCTCGAAAGAGACCATCTGTCCCCACAAACCTGCCGTTCTTCCTCAACCACTATCTACACTCGGCCGGCAAGCTTGTCTAGATACTGGTTCCACTAACTGTATGCTTTGATTCTAGGCTCGTAGAGGCGCGTTGCCTCGTCGGTCGCGTCCGCTGTACCTACAGTCTCCCCCCAGCGCTCGGCGTCGTCTGCTCATCTCTGATCCCCACATGCCCAAGGATCTGCGTCTGTTCCATATACTCGATAGCTCTAGTGGCTAGCTGCGGCGTGCTCAGAATCTTCCTAAGGCTGTTTCTTCCGGATAGGTTGGCGAAAATGCGGTTCCGGAGGTCCTTATACTTGCTACAGCGGAGGAGGACGTGGGCAACGGTCTGCCGCCTCTCTCCACAGCTGCAGCGGGGGTCGGTAATGGTCGGGACGTGTCGACTGAAGAGAAAGTCGTTGAGGCCTATCTTCTCAGTTCGCAGTTGCACCAACAGCGCGCTTTCCCTTTTGCTGAGCCTCTCGTGGAGCTGCAGCACTTTCTTGGTGGGCGTCGGCGTGTGTCTGTATGTCGCGCGGCCTCTCTTGTCTTCCCTCCATGCGCTGATCCAAGCCCTTTCTGCCTGTGTCTTGCACCACCTCCTGAGCGTTGTTCTGAGCGGATACAACTGCGAGGGCGGGTTTGCTGGTAGCTGGCTGCGGCCGTCCTCTCTCCATCCAGTAGCCTCCTTGGCAGCCTGGTCGGCGGCCTCGTTTCCGGGGATTCCTACATGGGCCGGTATCCATCGAACGGTCACGGTTAGTCCTTTGTCCTGGAGCTCCTGGACCTGCTGCGCGATCTCTCCGAGGATGTAGGCGCCAGATCGTCCCTCCGCCTTGGCTATAGACCATATAGCGGCCTGGTTGTCAGTGTATATGGCTATACTCTTCCGTTCACCGTGCTCGTTTGCGTAGCTCCGCGCGATCTGTAGTGCCAAACTGATGCCTTGCAGCTCCGCGGCGTATACTGTCGATAGGGTGCTTGGCCCCATGTGTACAGACAATGTCTGCTGTGTGAGTGGGCATACCGCTGCGGAGCCAATCTCGCCGTCGATGCCGCTGCCATCGGTGTATATGCTAAGGCTGTTGTCTGCTGCACACTCTGCGTCGTGGCGGTCTCGGGCCTTGTCTGCATTGCTTTCGATGTGGGTGTGTGGCCCTCTCTGCCATGGAGGCGTGATGAATGGCGGGATGTGCTCTTGCTTGTCTAGATTGCGCACTTGCTTGCTCCTTAGTGCCTCATAGATCTTCTGCCAAGGACTCTTATGTGCTCTGTAGTTCTTATCCATGGCCACTAGTGGCGGTTCTCTTAGCTCAAAGCCTGCGGTTTTCGCGATGTCCCTAGACGAAGATAGTCGAGTAACTACGTCTGCGTTGTGCTTCCAGATCTGCTGTTCGATTGGAAGGAGAAACGTTTCTACGTCAAGTGCAGCCCTTGAGGTTGCTTTATAGGCTCCGCATATACTTCGCGCTGCTCTTGCTTGGATACTGCGCAGGGCATCTATCGTCTTATGCGTGTAGGCGCGATTCTTGTCGTTGAGGTTGGCGTTGGACCAGATGGAACAAGCGTACATCATTTGTGGGAGTGCGATGGCTTCGTACAGTCTGCGCATGTCTTGCAGACGGACGCCCCAGGTAGAGCTGCCGAGGCTGCTTAGCATGTGTACTGTGCGTGTTGCCTTCTGTCTGATCGTCTCTACTTGCTCTCTCCACTTTAGTTTATTGTCCAGGGTTAGCCCGAGGTACTTGCATGTTGGGGACAGCTTTATCTCGCCCCACTCTGTCTGGATGGGCGCATCGACGTTGATACGTTTGCGTGATCTTGTGAAGTGAGTTAGCTGGAATTTATCGGGAGCAAAGACAGATGCGTGTGTCGATGCCCATCGCTGTGCTTTCTCTAGTACTGTGCCTAGCACTTCGCACGTTCGTTCTGTGGTCTTGCCCCAGGCGAGGATAGCAACGTCGTCGATATATCCTACTGACATAGCGTCCGTCTGTTCGTTGCACTGCTCGATTAGGTCTGCGTTGTAGAAGAGATAGAGTATAGGTGAGAGTGGTGAGCCCTGGGGGATGCCTGTGTTTATCTCGTAGTCTTTGGATTTATACCCGTCGACTAGAATGCCGGTGTGTCTATCGCTTAAAAAGCTTGCTATCCAGCGCACTATCCTTTCGTCGACTTTGCGTTTCCGTAGGTTGTGGAGCAGCCGCTTGTGAGACACGTTGTCGAAGGCTCCCGTCACGTCTAGCAGCAAGAGACTGGCTACCTGGCCGTCTTTTCCGCTGTTCCACCGTTCATAGATCTTCGCCGTAATAGCGTGTAGTGCGTGCTCTGTGGATCGCTGCTTCCTTCCCCCCATGTGGGTCAGCGGTAGCACGTGGTGGGTTTCCACTAGGTAGCTCAGTCTCCTAGCTATCACTGCATCCATAACCTTGCCAATGGTGTTGAGTAGCGCGATGGGACGGTATGCCTTGGGCACTGCGTAGTTGGTCTTGCCGGGTTTGCGGAGGACAGCTGTGATGGACGCTCGAAATGAGTTTGGGCAGTATCCTAGCCGCAGACTCTGGTTAAAGATCCTCGTTAGATGGACTGCTATTAGGTCGATCCCAGCTTGCAGCGCCTTGTTCGTGATCCTGTCTGGACCTGGAGCTTTGAGGGGCGATGCTGCTCGGATGGCTGTCCGTACCTCCTTTTCTTCGATTGGTGGCATGTCAATCTGGCCTGTGCATGTAACATTCTCTATGTCTTCTAAGTCTGCTTTAGGTGGCTCTGGAAAGAAGACGTCTCGAAATAGCTTAGCCTTTTCCGCTGGATCTTTTAGTTCACATTGAGTGTCAGGGTGCTGTATTGTTGTTATGGATCCAATTGATTGGTCATGCCTTGTACGTGCCCACCTCGCTAGCTTCCATAGCGCGTCTGGTGACTCTGTCGCTTGCTCTATGCGGTTTCTATGTGCTTTGCGTAGGGCTTTGCTGATTATTCTCGCTTTGTGGTTCCTTGCGGCGCGGTACGCTTCCTAGGTCTCTTCCGTGTGGTACTGACTGTGTACCCTTTTTAGTCGTTTTGTCTCAGTTAGGATGGCTCTACATTCCTCAGTCCATCCTTCCCGGGTGTAGGTAGAGGGTTGGGCCTCCGGCACTGCCTTGTGTATCGCGTTCTGAATTGCGGCTGTCACCTCACCTGTGTATGCTTCGAGCGCTGTCTTTGTGAGCGGTCTTCGAAGCGGAGGTAAGGCGTGTCTTAGCGCTTTCGTGTACGCTTTCTCGTCTAGTCTCTTCCAATCTTTGCGCGGCTCCTTCTCAAGCTGTTGCACTGTAAGGTCCAACGTTGTGCTTATTGGTAGGTGATCTGAGTCGTGGTCTAGACTTCTATCTACTTCACTCTTAATAACTTTATCAATCAGTCCCGTTGTTATGAGGCAGAGATCAATCGTGGACTGCGAGCGGCCTTCTTCATATGTGGTCGTTCCTGGTGGGAGAGTGTTGTGGAGTGCGCAGTCTCCTATGATGTCTATCAGATCCTCTGACTCGAGATCGGCGACCTCTCTATTTAGCCCTCCCCATAGAGGATGATGGAGATTGAAGTCACCAAGCAGTATTTGTTCGTCCGTATGATATTGTCTTAATGCTTCTCGTACCTGTGGTAGTACGCTCTGTCGGTTGTTCGAGGTCTTCGGCGGGTTGTAGACGTTATGGATGACCAGTCTTTCTTGTTGTTGCTGGTCGTCTTTTGGGTCTATAATTATAGAGCAGATGTCTCTAGTTCGTTCCTCAAAGCGCCATCCTAGTTGGTCTATCTTCTTGTTAATAAAGAAACAGACTCTAGCTATTCCTCCTGTATGGCTTGTTGGGTAGCAAAGGTGGAACTTGTTCTTGGCTGGGTGATGTGTGGTTGTTGTGTATGGGTTTTTCCACGGCTCTTGAATGGCGATGATGTCGAAGTCGTAGATCCCTGGGTCACGTAGTAATGACGCCATGACCATGTCTCTTGACTTGCGTACGTTATACTGTAATATGTTTAGTCTATTGTGTCTGTTCATGCTTCGTTGTCAGAGTCGATTTCCACGTGCTGGCTGTTGCCGCCCTGTGTTCGCCGCGTGCTGTTCCCGTTTGCTTCCATAGCCCTCCGAGTGGGCATGATGTGCCTCTGCGGCCTTTGGCTGCCGCTCGCCTGTATCGGCGGGTTCTGTTGCTCTGCTGGATCAACGGTGGTTCCAGCGTTAGTCCTCTTCTGCCCTCGTCCGGTCTGGGATCGGTTCCTGGTGATTGGTGTTGGCTGCGTCGATACTGCGGCTTGCGTGAGTCTGCTCCTTCGGGTGGCGGTTACTGGTTCTTCTAGTGGAATTCTCCCTCCTGTCTCCGTAACCGGGTGGTAGTATGGGCGCATGTCGTATGTAGCCTTCGCTTTCGCCCTCTCCTCTTTCCTAGTAGGGCACTGGTAGTTCCATGCTTCGTGTTCGCCTCGACAGGTGGCGCACTTCCTGGGGATAGTCCGGTCGAGCTTCGACGGGCAGTCTCGACTCTCGTGTTCTTGCGCGCAGTAGCCGCATGCGATTGTTGCCTTGCACTGGGTTCCTATGTGGCCATAGTGTTGGCACTTGAAGCACTGCTTCACTCGGCACTGTCGCTCGTATCGCTCGCACTGAAAGACCTCGCCCTGCCAGATTAGGCCCTCGTCGATGATCTTGTTGGCGTCCTCTGGCTTGCTAAACTCTATAACAATGCTAGAAGCGGCTTTTGTGGGTGCGTTGCGTGTTAGCCATCCTATATACTTGATTTCTGCCTGCGGGATGAACGGCTTGTTGTCTAGCAGTAGCTGATTTCTTGTCTCTTCGAACCTAGTCATGTCGATTGTGCTAGTGCGTATGCTGTGTGCAATGATGCCATAGGTCGTGATCCGTAGAGTGGCCCTGTTGCCGACGCGGTGGACCCAATCGTCGGCGAACTGCTTTAGTGCTTCTATATCAGTGCTGGTAGCTGTCTTGATGCTAATGTTGAAGATAGGAAATCTGGTGGCTGGGAACCAGCCACTCGAGTTTCTGTCACATATATATACATTCGCAGTATCCCTATCTTAGTTAGCCAAAAAAAATCCATTATCCAACAGCTAAGATCGCCGCTCTTTAGCTGGTTTGAAGAGAGTACCTTGATGCTAGCTATATTCTCATTTCCGCTCTGCGCGATGGCGCGCTCTACGTGCGCGTTGAGGTTGCGTGGGTTCATCGCCCGCAGGCTTTGTACTGTATTGGGGTCTCTAATAGTCACGACGACTTCACGCTGCGTCTGAGAAGAAGGCATTCTAGGAACTTGTGTATTCGATGTACCTGCTAGCGTCGCGCCTCTCGCTGCCATCGCGGCATAGCTGAGCGCGCCACCTGTCTGTGGTCCTGCATTTTTGATTCGCCTTGCCATCTCTAGGCTAGCTTTACCTACCTCTGCCGCCTCCTTAGCTGCTGTCTTGGCTTCCTCTCCAGCTCTTATGTTTAGTTGTACGTTTGCAGCGATTGCATTGACGGTCTCGGTTGTGTTTTTAAGTTCAGTCTTAAGTTCTTGTTTAACGGCGTCGAGCATTCGCGTGGTATTATCTGAGGTCGCTTTGGCCTCGGTTTGCAAGATGCTAAGCGCGTCGCATACTGTGCTGAGATCGGGGGCGTGTTGCACTTTCAGTATGAATGT